TTTAAAGCTAAACTCCAGGATAACCATATATTCTATTAATACAAGTGGCATGTGTTTTTACTTGGTGTGCTTTGTGCATTTCTTCCAGTTCTGTACGGAGATTGAGTGTGGAACTTTGCCTTTGTGCAGAAGCTTTCTGTAATAAAGACCACTGTTGCTCTCTATCCTTTTGCAGGTTGACTTTTTTTTATTATCTGCCCCTCCTGTATTTTTGTGCAAGCAGCCAGTAGTGAGTGGCCCTGTAGGGTCCCTCCCACAGCTCTGCTCTCTGTACAGGTTATTTGCAGCACAGTAATGTCACTACTATTTTTACAAGGTAATAACTGAGTTTTCAAAGAGGGCTGTGCTTGGGGTGAATACTACCCTAGGTGGCCGTATCTTCATCCTCTCTCCATGGCCACTTTGGGCAGAAATGCTGCTGATGTATAGCATGTGCGCCCACACATGCACGCACACAGCTAAGTGACATGGAGCCTCTTAGAAATGCAGGTTCAATATTACCAGGTAATATTGGCCCCTGGTGGAAGTCGCTCTGGTCTCAGTGTACTCCTGGATAACGTGGCACTCACACATCATTACATGAGTGCCTCACTAATCAGGAGTAAAGACTGCCCATCACCACTGGAAGAGAAGTAGAAGGACCTGGGATGTCACCAGTCTGGCCAGAAGACTACCAGATTTAGGATAGGTATATTTTTTGTGCAATTGGAAGGAGAGAGGGGGCTTAAAAACAAGTTGGGCATTGAGGTTTGTGTTTGCTGTTTTAAGTACATATATACATTTGTGTTAATAAATTGTATCATGTGTTGTAGTCACCTAAGGGGGGATCTGGTAAATCTAGTTTTTATTTTTTACAATACATTTTCTGTGGACAAGTGTGACAGTGCTTCACTGGTTCCTACTCAGACTAGAGCTTGAGGAGCATGTTCCAGAAGACAGATGTAGCCTACTAACTCATGGCATCCCGTAAACTGGCTTCAGGTTCTAAAGTGCCAGAGTACATTGGTTCACATCTCTCACACCTCTGTTGTTTGTTACTTTCATCAGCACACTCTGAACTATCTTGCTCAGGCTGTTTTTATTGACAGGAATGTAACAAGAACTTAACCACTTCCCGCCTGCCTGCAATGTACTGCGGCCAGGTGGCAGCTACAGGCAAAGTGACGTACCCGTACGTTGCTCTGGCTGTACTAACACAAGGGGGCGCTGCGGAATGAAGATCCCGGTGATCATGTGATCCATATTCAATAACATGATCACTTTGTAAGCAAAGCTGTTATGAATCAATGTCATTCATAACAGCTCTGCTTCTCTACCTAGTGAGCTGTGATTGGCCCAAAGTTATCACATGATACATGGGGCCAATAACAGCACCCTGTACCATGTGACCAGCTCCAGCCAATCACAGATTGCTATCCTGAGCTGTCAAAACTTAACTTATTGATGACAGTTCATGAATGAGTTAGGTTCTGACAGCAACCTTTGCATTGCATGAGAAATTATCTTTATTTCTCCTGCAAAGCAAAGTGTAAAAAAAAAAAAATCACCCCCCATACACAGTACTAAAATGTTACTATGGTAAGATTGTACTATTCTGTTAAAAGTATTTTAACCACTTGCATACAGGGCACTTATACCCCCTTCCTGCCCAGGCCAATTTCCGGCTTTCAGCTCTGTCACACTTTGAATGACAATTGTGCGGTCATGCAACATTGTACCCATATGAAATTTTTATCATTTTTTTGTGACAGACAGAGCTTTATTTTGGTGGTATTTAATCACCTCTGGGATTTTTTATTTTTTCTTAAACAAACCAAAAACCACTGAAAATTTTGAAAAAAAAAACGTTATTTCTTAGTTTTTGTTATAAAATGTTGTAAATAAATGATTTTTCTCCTTCACTGATGTACACTAATGAGGCTGTAGTGATGGGCACTGATAGGCTGCACTGCTGGACACTGATAGGTGGCACTGATGGGCACTGATGAGGAGGCACTGGTAGGTGGCACTGATGGGCACTGACAGGCATCACTGATGGGCACTGAAAGGCAGCACTCATATATGGCACTGATAGGCGGCACTGACTGGCACTGATAGGTGGCACTGACTGGCACTGTTAGGTGGCACCGATAGGCAGCACTGACTGGCACTGATAGGCGGCACTGACTGGCACTGATTGGTGGCACTGATTGGCAGCACTGATAGGTGGCACTGACTGGCATTGATAGGTGGCACTGACTGGCACTGATGGGTGATACTGAAAGGCAGCTCAGATGGGCACTGATATGTGGCATTGATGTGCACTGGTAGGTGTTGAAATGTGGCACTGATTGGCACTGTCAGGTGGCATGAATGAGCACTGACAGCTGGCACTGATGGACACTGACAGGTGGCACTGCTGGAGCCGCACAGATCATCAGGGCACACTGATCATCAGTGCCGTGATGATCAGTGTACATGTCCCCTCCGAGGAATGCCGATTACCGGCTCTCCTCTCGAGCTGTCAGCGTGACAGCTCGTGAGGAGAGAAATGCCGATAACTGGCATTTTCCTGTTTGCATGTGATCAACTGTGATTGGACACAGCTGATCACATGACCGAGCCAACATCTTCAGCTCTTTCCGTTGACCGGTGATCCGCTGTGTACGAGGGACACAGCACACCGCTGTCAAGGTCCTACGTTTTCCCTGAGGTTATGTTACTCCATGTGCTGGCGTCCATCTTGGATTCTGCTGTGCATGGTGGGAATCCTTTTTATGCCTTCAGGTCTCTGAGGTCCACCCCCCAGAGGGGAGTGGCTGATGACATATAAGACTGTGGCCTGCACATGCTCTTTGCACTTGTGTCTTGGTGTTACTATTACTCTGTTCTTACTCTCGTGACTCTCCTGGTATTCTGATTCGGCTTGTGACTTGACTATTCTTTGTATTCTCCTTTGATCTGACCCTCTGTTGCTGAACCCGGCTCGTGACCTGTGATTCTCGTCTGCTGTCCTGTACTGTTTTGTCCTGTTGTTGTTGACCCCGGCCTGTCTGACTACTCTTTTGTCTCTTCCACCAGCTACACGCCATTGGCGGCGACCATTACCGCAGCTGAGGTGTCTCGGGGGCGGCGACCTGGTTCCTGGCTGCGTCAAGTCCATCCCCACCATCAGGGGCCCTGGTGAAGGGCAGCCTGGGACTTGGACTCCGCGCCCTGAGGGACTTCGGTCTGTGGGTGGTGGTTGTCGTCAGCCAGTGCGTTACATTGTTAGGCCTGCCTGTCCGTTCCTCGGCTCCTGCCCTGACATTACACAAGTGCCATGAACTCTGACGGTGCAGGCACGCCTTCGCTCCCAACGCTAGTCGCCAGACTCGATCAACAGGATCACCTGTTGGATCAGTTCGTTCAGGCGTGGCAAACTCTGCTTGCACGCACTGCACACCTTGCTCCTGGTGCTATTAGGCCGGTAGTCACTCCGGTGGCCTCTCCCGCTGCTTCTCCGCCTATTGCGTCCACCACCTCGGCGGCTGCATCAGCGGCACCCAGAGGTATGACTGGCTCTGCCCCTCTTCCACAGCGCTTTGGGGGTGAGCCGAGTCAGTGTCGTGGGTTCCTCAACCAGGTGGGTATTTATTTTGAATTAATACCCCACGCCTTCCCGTCTGAGAGGTCAAAGGTTGGGTTCCTAATTTCACTACTCTCAGACAAGGCCTTGGCCTGGGCAAATCCCTTATGGGAGAGGAACGACCCGGTGATTCAAGATTTTTCCGGTTTTGTCGATGCCTTCCGTAGGGTATTCGACGTACCGGCTCGTTCCGCCTCGGCGGCCAAGCTGCTCATGACCATGCATCAGGGTTCACGGACCGTGGCCGAGTACGCCATAGAGTTTCGTACCCTGGCGGCAGAGGTCGGTTGGAACAATGAGGCTCTGGTGGCTGCGTTTTCCCATGGTCTTTCTGACACACTGAAGGACGAGATTGCAGCTAAGGAACTGCCTGTGGTGTTGGAGGAGCTCATCTCTTTCCTGATCCTGATTGACACCAGGCTCAGGGAGAGGCCTTCACTCAAGGAACGCCTGCGGAGGCCTTCCAATCGACTGGCACCTGCGTTTTCTGTCCCACCGTTCCTCCCTCTCCTCCCACGCCTCCTGGGGATAGATTGTCTGGTGGTGAGCCCATGCAGCTGGGGTTTGCTCGCCTTTCCGAGGGAGAGCGGGCCGCTCGGCGTCGGGAGGGTCGCTGCCTGTACTGTGGTCTTGGTGGGCACTTTCGGCAGTCCTGTCCGGTCCGTCCGGGAAACGCTCGCTCCTGAGATCCTGTCGGGGACAGATCTTGGGTGGAGTCTCCTCATCCCCGGCGTTCCGCAGAGATAAGCCACTGATCACCGTTGTCCTCTCTTGGGCGGAGGGCTCGGTGACGGCCCAGGCGTTGGTAGATTCTGGGGCCAGCGGGTTGTTTATGGACAGCTCGTTTGCTGCCCAGCACTCCATTCCCCTGCAGGCTCGAGTTACCCCATTGGTTCTCGAGGCGATAGATGGCAGGCCCCTGCAACCACCGCAGGTTACCCACGAGACTGTGCCAGTGGAAGTAGCTATTGGGGCTGTTCACAGGGAGTTGGCCTGTTTCCAGGTGATTTCTTCTCCGCACTATTCGGTGGTTTTGGGGTATCCCTGGCTCCAGATGCACAATCCAACCTTCAATTGGCAAACAGCCGAGATTCTCTCGTGGTCTCCACAGTGTGGGGCCGGGTGCATCCGTGGGCTGGTTAAGGTGTTGTGTGCCTCCTCGGACTCTGCATTGCCCTCTGATTATGGGGAGTACCAGGACGTGTTTGATAAGGTACGCGCTGGTGCCTTACCTGCTCATCGTCCTTACGACTGCGCCATATCCTTGCAACCCGGTGCCACTCCTCCGCGTGGCAGGGTGTATCCTCTCTCAGTTGTGGAGAATAAGGCCATGGAGGAGTACGTTGCGGATGCGCTTTCCCGGGGGCACATTCGTAAGTCTACTTCCCCAGCAGGAGCGGGCTTTTTCTTTGTTAAGAAGAAGGGTGGTGAATTGAGGCCTTGCATCGATTATAGGGGTCTTAATCGAATCACCACTAAGAATGCCTACCCGATTCCCTTGATTACTGAGTTGTTCGACCGCCTTAAGGGGGCAACAGTCTTTACCAAACTTGACCTTAGGGCGGCGTACAACCTCGTACGGATCAAACAGGGGATGAGTAGAAGACCGCGTTTAACACCAGAAACCGGTCACTACGAATACCTGGTGATGCCCTTCGGGTTGTGTAACGCGCCCGCAGTTTTTCAGGAATTCATAAATGATGTCCTTCGTGACTTGTTGCAGCAGTGCGTGGTAGCTTTACTTGGATGACATCCTGGTTTTCTCTGCCTCCATGGAGTCCCAATTATCCAGGATGTCAAGCAGGTGCTGCAACGATTACGTTGAGAACGAACTTTTTGTAAACTTGAGAAGTGCGAATTCCGTCGATCCCAAGTTGCCTTTTTAGGCTACATAATTTCTGCGGAGGGATTCTCCATGGACCCTCAGAAGGTTTCGGTGGTTCTGCAGTGGCCTCGTCCCAATGGTCTTCGGCCCATTCAGCGCTTTTTGGGCTTTGCCAACTACTATCGGAAGTTCATCCGGAACTGCTCCACGCTGGCAAAGCCTCTCTCAGACCTAACCAATCCTAAGTAATCCTCACGAGTGGCCACCCGAGGCCATCGTAGCGTTTGAGGCTCTGAAAATCCGCCTTCGCGTCGGCTCCGATACTGTCTCATCCCAATCCTGGATTGCCCTTCGTCCTTGAGGTTGATGCATCCGAGACGGGAGTAGCGCTCTTCCTGTCTCAATGTCGGTCACCCGATGGACCCCTACTTCCCTGTGGGTTCTACTCCAGGAAGCTTTCCTCTGCAGAGTGCAACTACCAGATTGGAGATAGGGAGTTGTTGGCAATCATTCTGGCTCTCAAGGAATGGAGGCACCTGCTCGAGGACTCCGCGGTTCCGGTCCTCATTCTTAACCGATCATAGAGAACCTGACCTTATCTTTCGGAGGCCAAAAGATTGACACCCCGCCAGGCCAAATGGGCTCTGTTTTGTCACGCTTCAACTATGTGGGTTTCATATTTGCCTGGTTCCAAGAATGTCAGGGCTGATGCGTTATCACGGCAATACTCTGAGTTGTCCAGGGAAGACTCCCTGAGCCAATCTCAGTTATTCCTCAAGATCAGATCCTGGCTGCCATTCGCACCAGTCTGACCTCTCCTCTTGGGGAGCAGATTTTGGCGGCTCAATCTGATGCTCCCCCCGGGAAGCTGGAGGGTTAGATGTTTTGTACCCGAGGGATTGCGCACCCGCCTGCTGCGTACCTACCATAATGCCAAAACTGCCGGGCATCCAGGAAGAACCAGCTGTGTTGGGTTCCGTCTCTCGCTTATTCTGTGTGGCCAACCCTCCGTGCCGACTAATTGCCTCTTATGTAGCGGCATGTTCAATCTGTGCCAGAATAATAAGTCTCCACGGCATCTCCCTTTGGGTCTTCTGCAACCCATTCCCAATGGGGAGCGTCCTTGGTCACACCTAGGTATGGACTTTTAATGTAGACCTCCCGGTGTCTCGGGGTCATACGGTCATCCTCATGATCGTCGATCGTATTTTTCCAAGATTGCCATTGCATTCCACTCAGGAAATTACCAAACAGCGGTAAAAACTAGTCCCCACGGTCCTTTTCCAGGGAGATTTTTTCGCCTGCATGGGTTGCCTAAAGTGATTGTCTTTTGTCTTCCTTTTCCCCAGCCTACCACCCGCAGTCCAAAAGGGGTGCGGGCGTTCCAATAGACCTTTGAAAAAATTCCTTCGGTGGGTTTTAAAATTTTAGCCATCAGGACGGGTTGGGGGCGATTCCTTTCCTTGGGCAGAGTTTTCCAGGAATTCGGGGGGGTCAACCCCCTCCTCCCCGGGTTTTTCCCCCCTTCATGGCCCAAATATGGGGGCCCCCCCGTGGGATTTACCCGAAAAGGTTTCACCACAGGACATTCCCGGGTGTGGAGGAAAAAAAATTTTCTGCCCCGCGTTCTTATGGGGGGAGATCCAAAAGGGCCTTGAGGGGGCTAGTCAGCGCCCGGGGGTTCCAGGTGATCGCAGACGGTTTTCCGCTCCTTCATACCAGGTCGGTGGGTTTGGGGGTGGTTTTTTTACTCGCAACCTCAATTTCGGGTGCCCACACCCCAAAAAAAACTCCCCCTTTTGCGGGGTTTTTCCCCTTTTTCCGCAAAGTGGAAAGGTTGGGTAAGCCCTTTTCCCTTCCCTCTGGGATGCGGAAAATTTCCCAAATTTTTATGTTTCCCCGTTGAAACCTCTGATCTGCAATCGCCCTTTACTAAACCCCTTTTGCCTCCCGGCCCCCTCCGTCCGGGGACGGTATGAGGGGGTTGAAGTGAGCCCGGGTCCTGGACTCCGGGTTGGTGCGCGGTTTAATTACAGTTCCTGGTTTTATTGGGGCCCGGGTTTTGGTTTCCCGGGAGCGTTCCTGGGTTCCTTCCGCGGATTGGGGCCTTTCTCCTGCCCTCCTCCGCGCTTTTTACCCCCTTTCCCCAGAAAAACCCTT